GGTTCCAGGATACTACCCTCTTCTACACCCCAGTGAACCCCAGCCCTTCCTGCCTTTATGCAAAGCTCCTTCTGAGATCCAGCTGCCCACACAAATGGTGGGTCCACCCCCACGTTTTGCTAGATATTCAGAGAATTGCTGCCTACTTATGACTGCAGTTCTGACCCTCCAAATGGAAGCACAAAGTCCAATCTTTGATCTTTAGAATCTGTAAAATGAGAACATGCCTATTGCTAGCTGTTCAAAGCAAATAATCATACACACACATGCACATGATCTTCTGTATCTTGATGGGCTCTTCAGCTCCAACAACTACCTATGCCTTACTTCAGTAAACCATACACTGGCATCAGTGGCTGGGTCAGCCCTATGACCTTAGGGGGTACAAAGAAAATGACACAAGCAAGTCAAAGGTCCACTACCACCACCTGGCTATTTGATATTAATTTAACCAGTTCCATGATAGTTCATAACAAGTTATTACAATGCCCTGGCAGGCACAGTCCTATGAGACCCCCAGAAACCACAGCATCACCTTCACCACCACTATCCTTTTTTTTTTTTTTGAGAGGGAGACTTCTTGGAGGAGTTGACAGATTGAAAAAAGAAGAGTAGATCTGGAAGCAGAGTTGTCTGCACCTCATTGCTGAGGACTAATGAACATCTCTGTGAGGAATTTCAGCAAGGAGTATCTTGCTAAAACCATTCATTTTTACTTAACACTGACAAAGACAGAGGCTGCTGGCCCCTGCTGTGTTTTTCAGCACCATTTGTAAAAGCAAGTGACTCCACAATAATGACTATCGTGGCTAGCAGACCATCCAACCAGAACTCTGCAATTCATTACAAACCTGAATCAGGAAATCCACAGAACATGCAATCAAACCAAAAACTATACTTCAGCTGAACATTTCACTCCACTTCTAGAACCTCCTGAGAAAGGGGAAAAAAATCTTCCTTTAGCATCTACAAGTGGTATATCAATTCCCTGTCATGCAACCAACTGACATTGATTTCCACCAACTGTCTGTGGTTTCCACAGACTTATCACAAGAGCATGGACACTGTATGTTCCAGGCACCTGAATTAGCTCTCCCCTTTTCAGTCCTGTTGAAACATCTTCTTTTGACATGTAGGCTTCAAATACACTCTTCTTCCTCCCTCGATTGGGTTTATTTAGATTCTTTCTGTCACCTGACGTTGAGACAGCAGCATAGGATCCTCCTGCAAACAAAAATTCAGAAGTGTTATCTTGCCCACCAAACTTGTCTATGTATCCTGACAGCAGCTGTACAAAGGCTTTGAGTTCAAAGTTAAACTTCTGAGAACAGTTTGCCTAGAAATACTGGCATCCAACTTCAGACCACCAAAAAGCCTGGAATAATCATGTTTTGCAAATAATCGACAGTCTTGTACAGCTCATTTTAGAGTTAAGAGTATTCATCCCACCCCATCTTTTAATAGCACTGAGCACACACTTCAAGACAGCTTATTCCTGAAGTGTGTACACACTCTGCTTTAATACCTCTGGGAGATCCCGGTTGTCTAGGATTTATTCTGTCTGAATTGTTCATTGTCTCTGTCTGTGATTCAGAGAGTTGCCTCTTCCTGTCGAAGTTATGAGGAGTTCTTGAAGATTCAGAGTTGTTTCTGGTCCTTGCAAACCCTCTCTTTTCTGCACCTGAAATCAAACACAGGTTTGAAGTAACCGGGGAGGGAAGAGGAACCCCATTGCCAGCTTGTGGTCCTGGTGAAACTCCTGATCCATGGCGCATAAGTACAAGTCACAACTGTGAGTCATGGTCTTTACCTAAACAAAATGATGTCTTCATTAGTTCGCTTGTAATCTGTTGGCTCTTTTTGCCTCTTAATCTACCACTAACTTATTTTAGCATAAATAAAACTCTGGAAATTACGATACTGAAGTTGGATACAACCCTTCCAAAATCCTGGGAAATTCATCAGAACATATAAACGTGAAATTGTTAAACTGTTTCCAAAGCCTCCACCCCATTAAGCCCCCAAGCAGTGAGAAAATAGAACTTCCCTACAACTTAATTAAGTAGTTTAGGAATCCAGCAGGAAAAAAAAATCTTAACAACCCACTGTTGAGTAATTAACTTTTGAGCTACCAGAGGCAGCGCGGTACCCAACGACACTACAAAGAAATGTCCAGCCTGCTCAGAACAGGCCACGATCACACAAAAATATTCTGCAAAGACTCACCCCTTCCTTCCCTGCCATCACCTCAGCCCCTTCCCTACAGCCAGGAGAGCCAGCAGCAGCTTCCAAAGCATATGCCAACGCTGTTCCACGGATCAGCACATTGGAATGCAACCCAGCGCCGTGCAGCTGCCCTCTTGGCCCTCCACCTGGAGACTGAACATGTCATCACAGCTTCGCCTTCCAGCCCCTCCTGGCTACACTCCCCGGGTACAAGCTTCTACCTGCAAGTCAGAAAATGTGCAATGCCAACTTATTTGCTATGGGGCTATCCAAGTTACAAGGCAAATTTTTTACTTATGGTATCCTTCACAAACAAAACTGCAGATTGCTTCGTAGAGTTAAACTGAAGCAGCAAGAAAAAAAACTGTTTAAAAAGCTGTACTTAAGGAGAGATCTTTAAAAATATGGTATAATAAAAGCGCTACTTTACCCAGTCACAGGCAAAAAGCAACTTCCACATACAATAACAAGCAAATTAGCAGGAAGAGGGAGGGCTCCTCCTAATTGAGGAGACACCAAGACAGGCAGAGGAACAACTCAAGGTGCCAGCTCAGACAGCCCAAGGAGAGATTAAATGCCACAGCAGTCTCCAAACAGGACACTGAAGTGAAGAGGGAGTCTTTGTTCAGTGACAAGGATGAGGGCAACTTAGTTTGGTCTCCTTCTACATGATCAAGCCTTTCATACTCTGCTCTTGCCTCCAGGGAGGAGACTGTCTGAGGGAGGTTACAGCTGTAATGCAGCCAGTGTAAAGAAGGCAATAATACCTACCTATACAGCCCACATGATGAAATCAAGCTAAAAGTAACTGACTTGCAAATGCCCTATGAACCGATTTGCAAATGTTCTAAGGGTCGAGAGATTGAGTTCAAAAACAGACACCGAAACTGAAAGTATGGACTAGAGTGATCTGAGCAGAACAGCTCTTGAATTGGCAACAGGGTTTTCTCTGGATAGTTTCCAGAGATGTTTTGGTGAAGGAACCTGACCGAAACTGCAACAGGTAGGATCTCAGGAACGCCATTTAAAAAGCAAGGCACTAGACTGATCACCCAGGGAGGTCATGCCATCTGCTTCACTGGAGGGTCTTAAAAATAGGTGAGACAGATGTCTGCCAGAGCTGGTCTAAAAAGAGTAGTTTTTTCCTTGAGGTAGTGAAATGGATTACACGGGCTCGTAAGGCCCGCTAAGGCCCTCGTTTCTATGACAGCAAGTCACAGAAAATACTATGAATTAAAGAACATGGGATAAAAAGGAGGCTTAACATGTAATTAAGAAGGAACTAAAAATAAAGCAGAAAACTAAGATGCAGGGGGGGAGAAGAGGAAAAAATAATTATTAAGTCTGGAAGTGAGCTGAGAGACAGAATTAGGCAGTGCAGAGCAGAGCTGCCCCAGCACTTGCCATGGCCATCAGTTCAAAACGATTGGGGTCATTACAGCCAAAAAATAATGCACAGGAACGGCAAATGGTGGAGGAGCACCTTTCCCTGCCAAAAAGGTGCACATGCAGAGAGGCACTCGCATGTTTCCAACACTTAAGCCTTTGGCTTGCTCTCTGGTGGGATTTTTCATCTGCCCAGACTCGGACACAAACTCATAAAAAAAGTATTCAAATCAAGAAACACAGCTTCAATGTAGCTGCCTCGCAAGCCAGTTTACACACAGCCACATTGGGTAAGCATCTGATGGTGCTGGCCATGACATTTATGACTAAACAAAACCACATACAACTGTCACAATTAGCATTCAACTGGAACACATCAAATTCTGCACGACTGTCTTTTCTTGTATTTCTCCTTTTAGAAGAAAGGGAGCCGACTACAGGTTGCCATCTGTTTCAGCTAGATTCACTATTTGCTTCTGCAATGCACCTGTCCTCTACCACCAGAATCTAGAAATACTTCTCGTGATGGGCTTCCGTGATGTCCCTGCTGCCCAGCATTAATATTCTGATGGATAAACAGAGATCATTCCACAAAGCAAACAGTAACTTGAGTAGTCTATGGATAGAGGAGGATATATTGAGACTATCCTTTTGGAAATAACTGCTATCACAAAGTTAGTTAAATTTTATTCTAGCACTAGGTGTGTCAGAAGTCTTACTTTCTCCATGGTGTTATAGTTGTGTGATTTTTAAGATAAAAAAAATTTTTATGGTAAGATGTCACAAATAACACATTCTACATATCAAAATAATGACAAAATTAATAAGTAAATGAATATAACAAAAATCTAAAATAACTTCAGTAGAAGGCAGACCAAAGTGCATTGACTGAGAGCTGAGGGTGGTTGGTACATCCTCACAGGTGTGAACCAACCCAAATGCACTGAACACTTCTGCATGTGTAGAAGCACCCAAGGTTGAATGCAGAGCAACTCTAACACAAGGCACTTCAAGTATTCACAACACTCAGCAAATGTAACGTGTTTGGATACGTTTATCTGGCTGCACAGATGATGTAGAGCTGATCTCCATGGATACAGCCATCACTTGCCTGGGATTTCTAGATATTCTTCCATTTCCAATGGGAAATAACACAACTGGACGAAAGATGGCTGACTTAATTATTTGAAGTCCTCTGGAGGGAGAGACAAATCCACCTCCACAGCTAGAGAGGCATGAAAAGAAAAGCAGGTGGTGTTTGTGGGCATTCAGAACCATCCACAATTGGTGATTCGCTCTCATGCTCAACATGGGCACCAGGAAAAGGAGGAGAAAGGATGGAGCTGAGGGCAGGCTCCAACCCAGGAGCCTGATCCAGCACCCAGCAGGCAGGCAGGCAGCAGTAGCTGGTGGAGCACCTCTGGAAGGACAACACTGGAGCTCAATCTCAAATGCAAACCACCACACTTTACCTCCGTCATGACAACAACATCACACAATGGCACATTTTGGTCTTTAAACCTAAGTACCCATTAATCTTTTCTTATTTGGGTAAAAAAGAAATGCAGGCAGGCAGCTTCCCAGAATAATTGATTTGGCTTACAGTAAGAGAGGAGGTTAGATGCTTTAAATCAGCTCATTTTGACATAATTTATAGAAAATCACTCTATAGTTTAGGTTTTGAGAAGTACTACATTTAATTAAACTTACATCTATTAGTCAGTTGAACAACTGGATGGTCAACTAAATCAACTAGAATGTACAACTAAACATGAAGTTAGCAAGGCCAGAAAGTCTTTAATTTTGTATTAAATTTGCATATTGCTTTACACAAGAAAGTATCAAGACCCTCAATTTTATTTACCAAAAATAAAACATTTCCAACTGCCCTCTAACACCTGACAAGCTATTTGATTATTAGTAGCAAAGAAGAAAAGTATTCCTCAATGAATTTTCATCAGCACATCCATAACTCCTTGGATACCTCCCATCCAGGATCCAGCAAGAACTAGTTTTACTTGAGAGATCCAAGTGAATTCCAAGATATGGACATCTTGGGACACCTTTCCCCCTTCCTCTCAAAGGCCATCTGCTTTGTCACTACACATTTTACCTCCAGCTAAATTTCCAGCTTTGATTCAATCTACATTATTTACATTTAACCAAGGTCCCTGGGACAGTCAGGACTATGAGAGCACCACAATTGTGCTGGTAACACCTCTACAGGTTTAGGATTCTCACCCCACTGACAGCTATCTTGACACGTAATGGTTCCTTTTACGCTTAAAAGCAAGGAATTCTGTTGAAAGCATTGGACAGAACAATAATAAAAAAAACCCAAACTTTTCCAACATTAAATACTTCCATCTACAGCTTACCTTTATCAGCATCACCACCTCCACTATTGGTAAGAGGATTTTCCATTGCTTCCCAGCATTAGATCATGATCTATATATGCAAAGTCATCTTTCAAATACCCTCGCTTTGCAGTTAGCATAAGCATGAGAAGAAACAGAAGCATATCCCCAGAACGGATAACATGCAATAGAACAATTTCTTATCAGATAGCGAGACACTCTCAACAAACAGTTACTAAATATTTGTCCATATTTCGACAATGTTTCATTTCATTGCTGACACACTTCAGTGACTTACACCAACCTCCTTCAAACCTTCCTAAGAGGTTCCCTGACATTTAGTTCAAGATAACCCAGCTATGCACTTAGTAAAACTCTGTAGGGATACACCCATGAGCTAGAAGGTACAGTAGCTACCAAATAAAGGGTCATCCAATGCTGCCCTCCTCTAAAAGGAGGAATTAACCAACTAAAGGCAACAAGAACCACTCTTATGCCAGCCCCTGTTTAGTCCTACACTCTCATTTAACTCAGACTGTGTTAAGCATGGCACATTCCTGCTCATCCTTACTAGAGACTTAATGAATTAGAGGTCAATGATATGGTAGCCCAAGGCATCAAAGCACAGATCTATAAGTTCAAATTGGCCCTCTGCTCCTGGCTGTGTTGGCAAAGTAAACTTCAGAAACCATCAGATTTGGTCTTTTAGCAA